AATAATTTTTTTTTTAAATTAACAACACTGTTGTACTTCTATTTACCTTTTCTTTTTTTCTCTCTCTCTCTCTCTCTCTCTGGGTAGGAACAGAAGTGAAAATATTTCTTAAGAAAAGAAATTTTATGCCTTGCTTGGATTGCTTGTTTCCGTCGGAAAATATTGTCGTTTTCCGTGATCACATTTCCCTATCATCTTTTTCCCTCACATATATCAAATCGCTACAGTAATTTTTTCATGAAAAATGATGGAAAATGCAATCCAAACACAACCTTAGTTTATTGCTTCGGTTTTCCGTCCCTTTATTGAGATGCCTTCTTTGTCTTTGAGGCCTTGAGGTCAACTTGTGATGGCCCATATATTATATTAGTGGGAAGAACAATTCGAGGTCCATTGGTTGGTTGGGATTTCATCTTTGTTGTAAGTATCTACTGTATTATTTTATATTAAAGATTTTTTCCATTGCAAACGGGAACAAAATTTTAATCAAGAATAATTATTCATCAACAAACATGTACATCCGACTTGATTAATTTATTAATCAATGTGCAGCTTGAACATGGACATGTTTCATTGCAAACATGGACATTCTTTTCTTTTTCTCTCGCTTCCTTATACGCAAAAAATAACCTAGCTAAGCTCTCCTTTCTCACCAAATTGTAACCCGCTTGCAACAAAACATCGCTACGTTTTATATATACTACTAGTACAACCAAGAAACATCGCCACATACTTGACTGATTTATATTTGGGGTAAAAGGAAATTAATTGAGTGAATGAACTGCAGTTTTTTCATTCATTAGTTATCTGTCCAATATATCAGTTTAAATTCCCGCACCCTATATCCATTAATTGAAGTTGAAAAATTTGTTTCCGTGTCTCGGATAGGACCTTTAGGCTCTGTTTGGATTGATAAATTTAATGAAAATTTTGAAATTCACTTAAATCGTTCTAATTATTTGAGTTACTTACTTAGCGGTTTATAAATTCAAATACTATAAACAACTAAAAGAATTTGAAAGGATTTCAAATTCATCATTAAATCCCTCAACTAAAACTGGCATCTGGATAACAGAAAAAAATGATACCGATTACTAATTGAAATTATTAATAGAATTAAATTATACTAGTGGATACGGATTAGTTTATATTCCTTAGAATTTTAACTACACTCAATAAATAAATTAATTATTAATTTATTGATTAATTAATATCTCTTTAAATTAATATAAATATTAATTTACAGAGATTTTATTGTAGAATTTTAAACCAAAGTCTATTTTCCTTTAAAAGTTGTTGGACATGTATATATTTTTATTTATTGTTATCATTTATACTTGCTCCTGTTTTAACCTATACAAGAGAGTCATCCAACAAAGACATCACCGAAAAATGACAGGGATTAAATTACCACTGAATTTCAATAAGAATGCATTTAGCAATATCCATGTGGATTTTAGAAAAGCCACAAGTGTCAACTTTAATGAAAGATAACATTTGAATTTTTAAACAACCCCCCCCTCCCCCCCCCCCCCAAAACACCAATCTCGCAAGACATGTTGGCCAACTTCTCTCGAGGACGTTGGCTGTCGGACATATACACTAGCAGACCCGAAATTGGCTGTATCTGCAAGTTGCATTAATTATTTATTTGGGCGGGGTGGTTCAAGCTGTAAGCCGTCCTTCAAAAAAAAAAAAAAAACAAAGGCTGTAAGCCGTCGTTTACTTTTACCCCCACTAGTATGCTGTATTCCACGGCCTATTAGAGCAGGTCATGTCATGTGTCCCCATCCACCGTACCTCTGCTTTCTTCAGCAACTTGTTCAATGACATTTCGTGGTACTTCAGAATGGTACATTCTTTCTTCTCATTCATTTGTCTAGCACTGTTTCAAAAAAGGAAAATAAAAGGGTCTAGGACTGTAACTTCTGGAAACCAAATATGATGCACCTCCAGCGTCCCGTCATCAGGTATCAGTGCTGCAACTACTTGTCAAAAGAAATATAATTAGGTGATGTCCCTCTTCGTCCACTTCTCTCTTCTTCTTTTTTTTTAATTCGACAGAGTGGGTATTTGAATCAATTCTTACGGGGTCCGACTAATCTCACTTCGGATAGGGAGGAGAGGCCCCTTCCCTCCGAACACGATAATTCTGAGATTTGATTTCTGATGGAAGAGTTGGACAACGACTTCCAAAAAACTGTCATGACCAAACGAACTGCCAGGAGGGCCTCCATCCACTTCTCAATTTGGTGGTTTTTAACTTGTTTTTGGATGATTTCATCCATCTCCGGAGCTGTAGCGTCAAAAGCAGACCCAACAACGAGCTAAATTAATTGAACTTGTCATGTACATGGTTGGTTCGTCTGATAGTATGATACGACTTCCATCACCTTACTCCTAACTTCTAACTGTTAGTACGTCTGTTAATAGATTTTTCCTCCGGAGAATTTGGCACATCATGCATTATATCAGTGTTTTCTTTCTTTTTCTTTTTCCTTTTTAGTGTGCTCATCATATTGTGTTTTCATTACGCAGCTTTGCATGTCTATTTCTTCCTGCCACCACTAACATTACCTGATCTTTGGTTCCTTAGTTTCATAGGAAAGAACGTGGTACGCCATATATCACACAATCTTGTCGGGGTTTTTTTTTTTCTTTTTTAGCCATAGAAAGTTTTATAGAACGGGTTTTTTTTTTATTATCCTTGACTTGTTGCATGGCGTACATGGGAAAGCTGCAGATTTTTAATTAACCTAAAAAACAAGTGCAGATTCTAGGTTTCGTGCATGATTATGCAAACCCCATATGATATTATCCGTGCATTGCTTTGCAGCCACTCTCTTATTGATAAAATCCAAAGAATGATTTAGCAGTTTTTTTTTCTTTTTATTTTATGAGGGAACAATTTAGCATTGTCTTTGTTGACGTATAACATGGAAAAATTAGCAGAGGCTGTAGGCCATCATCGCCTTTAATAATTAGGGCAGGAGTAGTTGGGCTTGTACCGACGAATTGAATGCGCATCGCAACCACACCTATCGACTTGTCCGGCAGCCTTTAATCTGTTACTTTGATAAACTATTTGATTTGATACGGCTGTGTCCAGCTCAGCTGAAAACTCTTCTTATAAGTAGACGCAGTTATCGACAGGACAGGAGAGCGTAACTTGACAGATCGTACTTCTGACTGATATTGAAATGTCTCTGACATATCACGTTAAAATTTGGATCTTATCGTTTCCTGATTGGATTTCATTCAGTCCATCCTATCATCTTATCATGCCTCGATCAACTCTCCACAAAGCTGACAAGGAAAAATGCACGCCTGATCAAACAGCCATTACTGACTAGATATCTTGTCTAGATAGCCTTTGCGGCCTTTATCGTCTAGTTCTAGGGTGCAAAATTTGATTCACTTTGGATCCTGAGCCGCGTAGAGTTTCATTATCAAGTCTCATTCTTAAAATCATGATGGGAAAATAGTTTTCATTCTTTAAAATTTTGACAGTATCAGATGATATCACTTAGGTTAATTTCTATAATATCACTTATTATATGTATTAAATTTTGAAAAATGAGTCTCTTGATAAAGGGGTTTCATATTGAAGTTTCTAAATTTGATTGGACATGTGCATTTAGCAAACGAACCAAAAGCTAATTAAGGAAATTGTAAACGGACAAAGGTACATCGAAAAGCTGAAGATGCAAGATAATTTGGCTCAAGAAATTCAGTATAACTATCATATAAGGAGAGATTATTATACATGGATGAAGCGTATTAAAATAGTAATAGTAAAAAACAAAAACAAAAACAAATTTGTTGTTTTTTTTTTTTAAGAATTGAAAATAAACTCGAATAAGAAAGAACACCAACCGACCGCAGCCGAATGACCATCATAGAAGTCGAAATCAACTTCAATCAACCTATCGGCTATCAGACAGCTTGATAAGGTCGTGGATAATACGTACGGTAGAGAAATTGCGATGGAACCCTCATTTTAATTCTTGTTCAACAAAATAGGCCTCAGTCGTTCATCCACCTAACCTGCAAAATCATGAATAAAAAAATTCAATGGCCACTGATCTATTTTGCTTGTACACTGCTACTTTTAGTCATTATTCAAATATATGCATGTTAGCGACCATTCTGTCCAAATTCAATGTTCACCTTTATTGAATAAGTTGCATGTGCATTGCATATGCCCAAATCATGGACAAATTTGTCCACGTGGAGTAAACAAGAATTTTAAACAACCACTGAACTATACAATTTGTATGCTTTTCGCCACTCCATTATTATGTTTTGTTTCAAGTTAGACATTCAAGTAACTAAAAATAATATATTACAAGTCTATCATTTCAAATTTTGTCATAAGATCTACTGTTTTCGTTTGGTTTCAAAGTTTTCGAAATTAATTTACAAAAAAATTCATTATATAATTTATACGTTTTGTTGGAACTTATAAATCAAAATCCATTAAACCAACTTTTATAGATTTTTAATTTTTTTTTAATACTATTGCAAATTTTAAAACTCTAGACGGAAAAAAGGGCTTAAAAAATTAACATTTGAACATCAAAATCTAGAACCAGGCGAAAAATATTTCAAGAGAAAAAAGCAACCAAATTGCAACTAGTGTTCCACTTTTGTCAAGTTGAGTGGACGATTTAAAACAAAAAATCTTTTAACGGCAAAATATGCACAATTTGAAATAGACAATCAATTAAAATGTAACAGCCGCATGGACCGGGACTATGACGGGAGTTTTCATGTTATGAGCAATGTTTTCAAACTCGGACCGGACCGGCCGGTCCGACCGGTTCGACCGCGACCCGGCCATGTGTCCGGTCCGGTTCGTTACTTGTGTTGACTTGGTTCAAGAACCGGTCAAACCCGTAAAAAACCGTTCAAACCGTTAAACCTGAATCGAACCGTGAACCGCGGTTTTTTAATTTTGGGCAAAATTGATTGAATTTTGACCGAAATTATCTAAACCTATTCTTTAGTTCACTTTTCAATCTTCATTCGGTCTTCTACTCTTCTTCCTTTGCTTCGCCGCCGCTTCGCCCTTTTGTTTTTCAGCCAACAATCTTCCTCCATAGCCTGCCCCTGCTTCACCTTCACGGCTTCACCACCACCTTCAGTTGCTGATCAGAAGCAAGATGATGGTTTTGATGAGTTTGATCCTCGTAGCTCATTTTCAGGTAAGATCTGGTTTCACCTTCACGGCTTCACCACCACCCTCTTATTTAGTTTGATTTCACAAAAGATCTGGTTTGTCCTCAAATTAGAAAAGGTATTTTTTTGGGTTTGTCCTCAAATTAGATAAGCTGATCAGTTTGTCCTGCAATTTTTTTTTTACTCGTTAATTGGCTTTGTTGTCTGGCTTGAAGATTGTAGCAAAGGTGAATCATTGGGTTAATCTATTATCTTATTGTGGAGACTGAATCAGTGGGTTTTTTTTTTATCTTATTGCTGGCTTGAAGGCTCGTTAGTTGGCTTTGTTGCACGTTGCAGTGATGAGCTCGTTGGCTGTTGCAGTGTTTCTCTCTTTGTTGTCTAAAAATTGGTAGTAGCATTTTCGTTATTTTGGTCCATTAGGAGATTGCAGAGGGATTCAATTGAATGAGGCAGTAAAAGAATTTGGAATAAGAAAGAACAGAACTAAGAGCTGCCAATCTCATATGATTGATTCTTTAACTGAAACTATGAAAGGCACTCTTCAAGAAAGAACCAAGCAGATGCTAGTTGGCTATGTTTGACCTTTCGCAATCATTTGTTTCATTAAGAATATTTCCACTTGGATGCAAAAGCAGAATGATGCAATAGCATAATCCTCCACATGCCACCGCATCTCACCTAGTTTTAACATGCATGGACAAAGAAATAACTGACTTACCTATGATTGAGCAATTTACATAATTCTTAATTAGCCATTAGGCCTCCATGTACTAAGCTGCTGTCTACCTGGCTGTTTGTTTTTGTTCTTGTTTCTTTGGGTATTATGTCTACCTTGAATTTTGCTAATAGTTCTTGGTATTTACCTGTAATTTACTTATGATTCAACATGAAGGGAATTTCTGGTCTTGGATTTTAGGTAGAAGTTTGAGAAGAAAGAAAATGTCAACCATTATTAACACTAGGTGTATATTTTAGTTTTGGCAATTATTACAAGACTAGGATTATTTTCTGTGCATAGGTATATGTGTGTATGTGTGTATATATATATAATTTATTTATTTATTTATTTATTGAACCGGGGTTGAACCGGTCCGACCGGTTGAACCTCGACCCTTTTACTTCACCGGTTCATTTAACGGTCCGAGTTTTAAAACATTGGTTATGAGAGTTGTGTGGGTTCCGTTGAAGGCGGGGTTGTTGGGGGTGGGGAACGGGGGATTTCGGGTCTTCCCTTTACTTTGGTAATCCTTTCGATCCCAGAAAAGCCACCTTCACTTCACTCACATATTGAGCTTCAATTATTTTTATGTAGTTAATGTGAATTAGATGCAAAACCACATCCATGCTTCTATGATTTATCTTCTGCGAAACCGTACAAGTATTTTTGAGTGAGCAGATGATTGCAACTGACCTAAGCCCCCGCGCCCCGCCTGCACTTTCTTCTACCATTGACGAAAGAATACAAAATGCATACGCTGCACTTCGCTTTTTCTCTAAAAAAATAGTGATTTTTTTTTTCTGAAAGCACGGGGCTATGACATAGTACTAGTATTTGTTAATTGTAACAGCTAATTTCCCTTTTTTTTTTTGGAAAATAGTACGTAACACCTAAAGTTGAATTTAGAATAAGGATTTTGAGTACTAATTAATATACCTAAATTCCATATAATTTCTCTACCGTGTATATACATATATTAATAATTATTGTCTTTTCTTATGTTTATACAATTTTTCTAATTAATCATATTATTTTAAAAAATCTAACATTTGAAACGATGTTAACGAGTGTCTAATAAACATTCATTAGACAGATCCTAAGAATAAATATATTATTTATACACTTCTCAAAGAGAGAGAGATATATATCTTATGGTGAATACAACATATCTAACTTGGTGATCAAAAGAGGGGATAAAAAATGGGTACATACAAATATGAGAGGCAAGCCGCAAGATGAATGCATCACTATTAGGGGCTGCCATTAGAGGCCTAGTTTGAGAGAGTAAAAAGAAAAAACCTTAAAGTGTAAGAGAAAGGAAGGGAGTAAAAAAAATTTGAGTTGGTTTGAGAGTTTTGGAGAGAAATGGAATGATTTAAGTGGGGTTGAGGCAGATTCCCCCTACCTGGATGAATTTTTTTTTTTTTTTTTTTTGGTGCAATGGAGGCCATTTACAAAGCCACTGAACGCGGGGACGCAACTGCTCTTGCATCATCATTTAAGCACTTCTTAACAACATCAGGTGGCCTATCCAATACTGTTAGTCCCAGTTCTTGTTGGTGACTTCACTTTGCCAGAGCTCTTGGGAGCCGATGTTATAGGGGTAGCTACCCCTTGGTTTATTCCATATTAAGGAGTCTTTGGCTCGCCTTGTAACCCCAAAAAAAAAAAAAAAAAAAGACGTGATGGTCATAGTATAATTTTTTGGTTGGATTCATTTTGGATAAATTTGGTATTTGAAAATGTTGTATTAAGTGTAACATGCACTTCCTCTTCATTTCTCGTCCGTAGGACAAAGTTTCTGGGCTAATTTCTTATTTGTTTGGATTGTAAATTATTTGAGATATTTTTACTATAGCACTTTTTGTGATGTGATACATGTGAGATAAAAAGATAATTGAGAAGATAAAAAGGTGTATTGAAAATTGTAATGGTGATGTCAGCAAATATATTTGGGCAAATAATCTCTCAAAATCTCTGTTCTTTCCTTTTTTGACAAAAAAGATACAACTTTTCTGTTCCTCTCCTCCTCTCCTTTCCATTTCTCAACGACCAAATTTATGCCTTTGGTTAATCCTTTAACTCTAGTTAGTTATCTCTTGGGCCTAGTTTAGGAGTTTAAGAGTGAAAGAGACATAGAATGCTTAACACAGAGAGTCACATTATATTTATCTTTGGTATCGGAAGATAAGGGTGCAGGCTGTTGATCTTGATCCCTATCTTTTGATGTTTACAAAACAAATGGATGTTACTAATATTTCTTCAAAGATCTATTCAGTTATGAAGCAAATCAGTTCCAAAAATCAAGTGCAATTGAAAGAAGACAAAGTATGCTGAAACTGTCGGACGCTCAAAAAGACTGCATCGGACGTCCGACAACCATTGAGTATCTTCGGACGCAGAAAACCAGCCTACTGGACGTCCTAAGGGATTGAAGAAAAATTTCCAGTTTTACATCATACATTCGGACGCAGAAAACCAGCCTATCGGACGTCCGAAAGAATTGAAGAAAATCTCTTAAACTTTCTGCCTGCTGTCGGACGCACAAAACAGGGCTATCGGACGTCCGACACTGCCAACGGATAGTTGACTGTTCAGCTACTTTCTATCCGTTGGAAGCATTAATGAGGCACTTTCTTGGTCCTATATAAATAGTGGTTGGTCAGATACTTCAAATAACTTTTGCACACTGAAGATACAAAAGATCTAGAGTGATTTTAGTGAGAAAATACTCATCAAAGAAGATTTGTAGTCTTAGTGGTGTGAGGTTCATTGTAAGTTTTTCATTTGTAAGTGAATCTTTCATGAGTGTAACTCTGTGAGGGTTGTCCTGAGGGATAGTAAAACGTTATGGCTTGACCGAGTGGAGTTCGGGGCAAGGAGGAGGTGAACCTTCCTTTGTACACAAGAGTGATTGTAATTCATCAACTTGAAATAGCTTATTTGAATTAATCTACAAGCTCAAGAGGAGTTGGGTAGTTAATTGGTTTGCAAATTCCTTCCTTTTTATTTACTTACTGTTACGTTTGTGCTCTTTAAATTGATTATCTCTTCTACTCCCAAGCAGCCTTGCTTTCTTGTTAATTGTCTCATTGGTTGTTTTCGGGTCTTACAATTGGTATCAGAGCTTGGTCTCCTAGAGATTAAGCTCAATCGGCTTTGGAGTAAAGATGACAACCAACAATGCTATGTTTTTTGAAGGACATTCTGTCATTAGACCACCTATGTTTAATAGGTCAAATTATGTGAGTTGGAAAGAAAGAATGATTATCTTTTTGCAGTCTATTGATATTGAATTGTGGTTTATTATTAGTGAAGGTCCATATGATATCTCTCTTATAGATGAAAATACTCACAGATCTAGACAAAAAATGAGAAGTGAACTGACTGCTGCGGATAGAATTCATCTCACCTTAAATGCAAAAGCCATGAATGTGTTATATTGTGCATTAGATTCAAATGAATCTGCTAGAGTCAAAGGCTGCAAGTCAGCCAAGGAAATTTGGGATAAATTGAGAGAATTTCATGAAGGTAGTGAGAATGTTAGAGAACAAAAGAAGTCCATTCTGGTTACCAAGTATGAATCGTTCAAGATGGAACCTCATGAAAACATAGATGAGATGTACTGTAGATTCAACGACCTCATTAAGAACTTAGAGGTGCTGGAAAAAGAATATTCTCTAGGTGAGAAAAATAGAAAAATCCTGAAAGCCTTGTCCAATGATTGGAAAAATAAAGTGACTGCTATTGAGGAGGCTAAAGATTTGAATACTATGCCTATTGAATCTCTTATTAATTCTCTAACCTCTTATGAGCTGAAATTTAAATCCAAAGTGCAAGAGGAGGAGGATGCGAAAGTAAGAAGGAGCATTGCTCTAAAGGCATCACAAAATAAAGATGATTCTGCCTCCCTAGATGAAGAAGATGTGGAAGTTGATGACAGTGATCTTGCTCTCATCACAAGAAGTTTCAAGAGAATTCTTAACAAAAAAAGATTTAGAAGAGGAGGACCTAGCAATTCAAATTCTAATCAATTCAACAATGCAAGAAACAAAGGAAGATATGAAGCTAACAAAAAGCAAGGTGACAAGTGCTTTGAATGCGGCCAACCTGGACACTATGCAAGTGAGTGTCCAGTGAAGAAGAGAAAAGGTGAAAGAAAACCCAGATTCAATAACTTCCAGTTCACATGGAATGAATGCAACTCCGATGGTGAAATTGAAGAGGAAGAAGAATCTGCTCAATTGGCTTTCATGGCCATTGGAGATGATGAGGTAACAACTTGTAACTCTCAATTTGAAAGTGATGATGAAACTGATGATGATCTTGAATCTTTCATTATAAAATTACATGATAGTTTGAAAGAATCTTATGCTAGAAACAAGGAGTTAAAACAGAAAATTAGTTTTTTGCTTCGAAATAATGCAAATCTTTTTCAACAAAATAAAAAGTTGAATGCTGAAAATGATTTCTTCAAAAATAGTGAGACTGCTTTACACTTTGAGCTTGATAGAAAAATAAAGCTTTGTGAATTGTTCAAAAAGGAACAAGGTGATTTGAAAAGAAGAATGGATGGTTTAAATGAGTTGCTCCAATATAAAAAAGAAAACTGTTTTCTAAGTAATAAATCAAAACCTCATTTTGGCACTCATCAGATAAGACTGAATCAATATGCAAATGAGTTTACTATCCATAGGAAAAGGCAAGTCAGATTTATTAAACTCGTTCATGTGAATAACTCTTTGGTTATGTGTAATTTTTGTTGTCAAAAAGGTCACATGAAAAGTGATTGTTATGTGAGGAAAAACATGAGAAGAGGCATGAAATGCATGTGGATAGTTAAACATGATGCTAACTCTAACAAGTAGGGGATATTGGTAAAATTGATGAGATTCTTGTTCATAATGCTTTTCTGTAATTCTTTTTTGAATTTTCTGATGCTTAGAACTGTTTT